TGTAACCCTGGGACACTTCAACCGTTATAAATACAAATTGGTTTGCATGGTTTAACAGATAATCAGAGTTGGAAGGGACCTTGGAGGTCATCTAGTCCAACCCCTTACTCAAGCAGGAAGCCCTACACCATATCTGACAGATGGGAGTCCAGTCTCTGCTTGAAAGCCTCCAGGGATGAAGCTCCCACAACTTCCGAGGGCAACTTCTCTTCCATGGGTCGATGGTTCTCCCTGTCTGAATTGCAATCACGGGACCGTGTGGGGATGCTACAAGTCGTAAGTGTGAGAAATGGTCCCAAGGCACTTTTTTTTTCAGTGCCGTGGTGACTTCGGTCCCTAAGCGAACGGTTGTGAGTCGAGGACTAGCTGTGATGAAAGCCGGGAAGGTTTCGGAGACCTCCAAGCCGCCCCTCCCCCTTCTCCACCCCGATCCCTGCCCCACTGACGACAAGAGCCTTCCATTTCTCAAAATAAAAATTTATTCAGTAACAAGAACATCGAGTCAGCCCCCTTGGTCCAGGGGTGGGAGTTCACATTTAAAAACAGCTGAGCTTCCTTGTGTCCAGGCAGTCTACCTTAGAAGCCCCCTGGGAGAGACAGGGACCCCCATGGATGGCCCGGGGGTGGGGGCAGGGGGCGGAAGGCAGGATGGAAAGGAAAAAAGGAGAAAGTGGGAGATGAACGCAATTCCCCTCCCTTTCCCAGGACCCCACCCCACGCCACGGGATTAGACGGAGACCCCCCCCCCATTTTATATATGGCCAGGATGCATCCTGCAAATCACTACTCAGAGAAGACCCCTCCCCGCCAGGGACCACACCTTGCCCGCCCGCCCCCCGATTCCAAAAGACGGATGGCCCCCTCCTTGCCGATTGGCCGTGCCAGGGAGCCTTTGCAAAATTAATTCTCCCTGGATGAGGTGCGCCACGCACAAACCACCCAGATGAGAAAGACCCCTCCCCATCCACCCCCCCAAAACATTGGGGGGGGGGAGAAAGCACAGCGGGAGTGAGGTGGAACACTTCCTTTCCTGCCCGTTGGAAGGGGGTCATTTTTGGTCTGGATAGGGGTCGGAGCGGCCGTTGAGAATCAAGGAGATGGACCCGGGGTTACAATTTCAGACACCGTTTTTTTTGGGGGGGGGGGGGGGGGCGGCAAAGTCCCCCCCCCGCTCACCCTTGGGTGGTGTGGAAAGGCTGAGAAGGCCCAGCTGTTGTTGAGGGGGAGGGGGATACACAACGGGGCTGCGGCGACCCAGCTGGCAACGCAGCACAAATGTCTCAAGTGAAATGGAGACTCGCAGCATTTCTCAACCTAGGTCCCTTTAAGGGGCGTGGATTTCAACTCCCAGATTTTCCCCCAAGCCGGGGGGGAATTCTGGGAGTTGAAGTCCACACCTCTTAAAGGGACCAAGGTTGAGAAACGCTGCTCCAACTCATCCGGTTATCGCCGTTCGCGCTTTCAGGACAGATCAGAGATGGGATTCAGCCGGTTCGAAGCGGTTCGAGCGAACTGGTTGTCCGTCTTATATTCCCTTTGGTTTGAAGCCCGGCTGATAGGCGCGGCTGTTTTTACTCACCGGGCCTGCAGTAGAAGCTAAGTTTTAGAGCTGTTTTCAAATGCGCTGCGTGCTCAACGAACCGGTTGTTCCACCGGTTGAATCCCAACCCTGGTACGGATGGCGCTCACTTGCCTGCCAGGCATCCATTCTGCGCCCCCCACCCCAATCCCGAGCTCCCTTGTGCAAGAACTACAACAGGGGTCTTCAAACTCGCCCGCTTTTAAGACTTGTGAACTTCAACGCCCAGAATTCCTCCTCCAGCCCCATTAGCTCAGGAATTCTGGGCGTTGGGAGTCCGCAAGTCTTAAAAGAGGTCGAGTTTGAAGACCCCTCGCTCTACAAGACTGACAGTACAACGAAAAATTGAGGTTTGGGGTGGGGAACAAGGAAATGGGGACCGCTGGAGAGAGGGGATTTTTTTCCCTCCTCCCCAAATCTGCATAACTTCTGAATGCAAAGAGAGGAGCCAGGACAGAAGCCCAGAAGAAACAAAAAAGCCCCCCCCCTCAAGAAAAACAACAACCAACTATGCTTCCGATCAGCACGACTTTTTTCATCGATCGACGTAACAAAAGCTGCCAAGCGAGCCAGTAACAGAGCTTACCAAACGCGTAAAACTTTTCCAGACTTCTTGGTTTTTGATTGTGGGGGGGGAGGAAATTGGAGGGAGGGGGGGGGCTGTCTCCCCAAGACTGCAGACTTTGGGTGCCTGGGAACTAGCAGAGTCTGGGGGCGGGTGGGGTGCAACTGAAAGAGAACAGAGAGGAAGGAGGGTGGTCCCCTGCCCAAAAGAGAAACACCCCCCCCCTCCAATGAGCTACAAGGCACACGTTTTGCTTTCAGAAGAGACCCTGATGATTTTAAGAAATGGAGAGGAATTGTCTGGGGGTCCTGCTGTTGCCCTCTTCCCCCTCCCCAGGGATAGACCTCCCCAATTCTCATTCTTGGGTAAAATACACTGAAAGACCCCCCCCCTGCATGGTGCGATTTTTAAATGCACTGCCTGCAGGGAAGAAGAACGTAAAATAATAACCCCCCCAAATCTTTGACAGGGAGAGATTCAGACATGAGGAGGGGGCTCCCTCGTTTGGCATCGGTGAGAGAAAAAAAAATTGGGGAGCTGGTTGGATCTGATGGGGAGACACCCCCCACCACCACCCCGCTCCTCGAGATCCAGTCAATGGCTTCCTTCTTGAAGAAGGACGCAGAAAAATCAAGTACTCAATTCTCAAAGCAGTCCGGAAAAGTCTCCAGCACAACAACCGATTGGAGAGGAATTTCTCGACCGGAGAAGAATTCCAGAATTCGTCTCCGCTCCAAGGAAGGGAAATTTCTCCAGGCAACGCTGGATATGTTTTGACCAACCCAAGAGCAACGAGGGACGATGGATCGTGCTGGGTTTTTTCTTTTTCTTTTCCATTTAAAGACCTCCACCCCAGTGGTCAGCTGGGCTGGAGATAACCGCTCAAAGGTCTAGGACGATTCGCGGCGGCCAACTTCCCGCGAGACAAATTCCACAGGGGCGGGATTAACTCAACGCGAGACCTGTGATCGGTCCCTATTTCTCCGGCATTATTTTTGTCGATGTAATGTCGACGAGAGCGTGGCAGGGAACATGCATCGCGTTAATCCCCCCACCCCCGTGGAATTGTCTCGTGGCGAGTTGGTCGCGGCGAGACGGTCCTGCCAGGTTGTCCGTGGCGAGAAGGCCGCAGCGAGTTGTCCCTTTGCAGCCACAGAGAAGCCCCCTCCTCACAATGAAGGAGTGTAGGCAACTAGCTGGGATTTGGGGGGCGGGAAGGGGGTACTTCCTCCAAAACTAACTCTGGGGATCCCTTCTACCCCCATCCCCCCCAAAAAAACCTCTACCTGGCCAAACTGAGCTACAACGATCTGCACATTATTGCAGAAACCCTCCAACCTAGGAGTGCATTTCAAGTGCCCAGCTTAAACCTATCATAAGCCCCAAGAGACGAAGAACTGGGTGCCCCTTTTCCCAGAGAGTTTTGGGGTGCAATTTCCCCCAGATTCTCCTCTAATCTCTTTCTGGGCCTCAGGTTTTTGGGTCCTGAGCTGGTCCAAAGATTGGCAGAGCCCAGGAAAAGAATACCAAAATGCACGAGGCAGAAAATATGGACCTTCTGGAATCTTCCCCTTCCGAGAAAGAAACGATACGTTTTTAAATGAAAGGATAGAGACCGACCGACTCACCTCGCCCAAGTTTGTAAAAAATCCAGCTTTTATTTTATTGTTCACTTCGGGCGGCGCTTAAGGAGGAGGAATATTTCAGTGCATTAATACACTCCGCGCCACTGGAAATGTTACTGACACACACGTTAGAAAACCCTGATTTCCAGAAATAAAAGAAGTGGTGGAGGGGGGTGTGTGGAAATAAAAAGGAAAGGGGACCACATCGCAACCCCGCCTGTCCACGAAGAACCCCAGGGACGGCGAGGCTCTTTGGGAAGGAACGGACACGAGAACAGATAAACGCAAGGCGGGGTGGTCAACGAAAAGGCGAAAGAAAAAAAGGACATTAAAAAGAAAAAGAGAGACACACCTCGCATGCGTTTTGGCACCAGTTGGCAAAACAAAACCGACAACCCTTCCTTTTCAAATATCTTTTCTTTTTGTAAAATAAAACAAAACAAAAAATAGCCAAAAGCGGTCAGCAACGATCCGAGAGAGAAGGGAAGTTAAAAACGGGTTTGTCCAAATGCCAAAGGGTTGTGCAAATAACGGGAGACCATTTGGTTAAATCGGGCTAAAAACACGGGTTTAAATTGGGTTAAACACGGGTTTTCCAGTTTACAGAAGAGATGTCAGAGCAAATGGGGGGAGGGGAGGCAGGACAAAAATCTCCCCCCCCACACACCCCCCGGACCCCCGGGTATGTTTATAACAAGTCCTATTATGTACAGAAACCACAAACACGCAAACACACACAATATATTTTTTTTTTCTCTCTCTCTCTCTTCTGCCCCGCTATCCCCACCGGTTTGGGTGACACGGAGCTGGGAGAAGAGGAACAAGGACGAGTGGGGTGGACGGACCCCTTACCCTAATTCATTCATTTCTGGACTCTTTTATCGAAGTAGCTTGACCGGGAGTTGGGGAGGGTCCTTGCGCCTCCCCCCTCTCCCCCAGTAAGAGCTTTGCACAGTGGAGAGAAAGGAAAATCGTGAGTTTTTGAGAAGGCCCACTGTTTTTTTATTCAAGTAACCGGAAAGTCGGCTCCCTTTTTTTTTTTTCAACACCTGCCTTAAAAGAACACCCATTTCCGGACAAAATTTAATTTAATTTTTTTTTTTAAATGCCAATTTTTAATCCCCCCCTTTTTTTTGCCACTCATAAACGGGATGTTTCCATCCAGTGATGAGCTGCAACCAGTTTTAACCCCCGGAGTATTCAATAAAGAGCAAATTTGAAACCTCTACTAGCCTTCCCCGCTGAGTAGAACGGCTGAGGCGCGGTAATCCAAGTTGCCGCGCGAATCAGCCAAGCTGCACAAGAAGGAAAAACGTACGACAGGATAGGGAAGGGGGCCAACCGATCGTAGTTCGTACCGGTTCGCTCGAACCGGTGCAAACCGGCGGCGGCCCAACCCTGGAGTTCAGAGAGGCGTCCTTGAATAATACTCGCACACAGACATGCGCTGCGTTCCCTGTCCTAAGACGGTGGGGGTCAAAGGTCCCGAATGCCCACTGTATTGTAAAGACCTTGGGTGGGTGGCCACACAGGGGAGAGGCGCCAGCCGCAGAAATGGGCAGATGTTTCAAAGAGGGGGGGTATCAAGGCTGGGGGGCTGGCGGGGGGAGGAGGGGAGGAAATTGGGGACAAGGCTCGGGTGGTTGGCCTCTCCAAACCACCACCCCTGTGGGGGTTGCACAGCCCCTACTCAAATGCATCAGTACGGCCCTTTTGGGGGTGTCTACACAGGGTGGGCAATTCAGTGGCATTGCACGCACGATATTGTCCTGAGGTGCGCGCGATAATATCGTGGCTTCTACGTCTTACGGGCGAGAGAGCAGAGAGAAGGGTAAACTTCACAGAGTGTTGGATCCAGGGGTTCAACCCAGAGGTGAAACTTGGGGGGGGGCTTCATTGTGAGCTCCCACAACCACCCCACCCCGATTAGCAGATTGTAGGATTTTGCTCCCCGCAACCCTAACAACGGTCTGACTCCGATGGTGGAAAACTAAAACCGACGGCCTCTTGTTTTGCAAAGAAAGGGTGTTCTTTTAAGACCGTGCTGGAAAAAAAAAAAAATAGAGGTAAAATCTTTTCATAGAAAAAGAAAAGCCACCAAATGAAGAACGAAGAACGCAATAAAACAACACAGACCAAAACAAAAACAAAAAACGCCACGCGGTCGTCTCGCTGTCACTCGCGCGGATGGAGGTTGGTTTTGTTTGGGTTTTTTTTTGTTGTTGTTAAACTTGAATTTCAGCCGCCTCGAAAATGTACATGCAAAAACGGGAGGAACCGTACAAATAAAAGAACATAGATATAGATATAGATATATATATAAAAACAACAACAACCTAACTAATAAAGTGCATGTTTTGGTATATATTACATCTGCGAGGGATTGTGAAAAATTCGAAGGGGGGAGGAGGAGGAGGAGGAGAAAGGAGGGGAAGAGAAAGGAGGGGAAATGGAGACAGGGATCACATCGTATTATAGACGGGGTTGGTGGTTCGTTTCCGCTCGTTGGATTTTTTTAACCTCCTGGGCAGCCGAGTTCTGGCGGGGGGATTTCGAGTGAGGGCGGCCGGCTGCCTCGGGCCGTGGGCCCAAGTCCACGTTCCTTCCGTGGGCCCGCAGGTCGGGGTGAAGTCTTGGGCAAACTGAGCCAGGGGCCGTTCCACCGGCCGGCTCAGAGCCAGGCATTCCCACAGCTTGACCGGTGCCACCAAATGCCTAGTGGGTTCAGGAGACAGGAGGGTCAGGGAGGAGATGGCCGGATCCGGCCTGGAGATCCGGAGCGATTCCGGCGAGACGGTTCTGGCGACGGTGGGCAGGCAGCAGCATCCGCGGGGCAAGTTGTCCTTCAGTGAGCCCAGACAGTCCAGTTTGGCTAAAGACGCCGAGCGTTTCATTTGCGAGGGCGCGGTGAGTCCAGCTTGCCGCAGACGGGATTCCAGTTCTTTCGCCAGTTGCTTGACCAGGCCTGTCCCCTGGCCGTTGTCTTTGGCGCAGCCGTCGCAGCTGGAACGGCGAGGGAGAGAGCAGCGAAGAGGACGGGATGAAGGGACGTCCTGAGGATTTTGTTCCAGATCGGGGGTCCAGTATGTCCAGGGCAGGAAACCCTTTCCCCTCTCCTCCAGGGAGAAGTGCCCGTTTCCAGCGTAGCCCCCCGAGGGAGCCGGTTCAGGATCGGTGCTTGTGCTGTCCTGAGTGACCCCGTCCAGGCCGAGACGCTGCTGGCGATGTGAACAGGGTGGAGGGGAGCGTCTCGCCTGGTTGGCCAAAGAAGAGGGGACTTCAGGATTGGATGGTACCCCCGTTTCCCCCTCATCCTTGTCCATCTCTTTCGGGTTTCCCCAAGAGAAGAGGGCACCGCTGAAGGGATCGCCTGCCTGTCCTGGTGTCCTGGACAAAACCGGGCTGCATCCAGGAGTCTCCGAGCAGAAAGCGGTGTTGCAGTTTTCATCCAAGGTTTTCTCCGGGTTCCGGGCGGTGACGGCCTTCTTGTCCTCCTCCGTGCCAGGCAAGGCAGGTGTGTATTCAATGATCTCGATTCTCTTGGGGAGAGGGCTGAGCAGAGGAGGTCCCTCATCGCCTTCCATCCAAAGCACCATCCGGTGTTCGCGAGCTACGCCTGGCACCTCCGCAGGGACTTCCGGTGGACGGGAAGGTGCTGATGACGGTGGATCGGAGACAGTCCGTGGTTCGGAGACGTTTCCCGTCTCAGGGCTGCTGTTGCTGCCCGTTTTTGAAATCTCCTTACTTTTCGAGAGCTGGGTTGGCTCGTGGATCGGATCGTCATTCCTACCCCTTGCACCCGGATCGGACTCGTTCCGGGAATTCTTCCGGACGGGGAAAAAGACGACCGGGGAAGTGTGCTGCAAATCTTGTTGCTCCTGCCGTAGACGCTCTTCAAACTCCAGAGTGGCCCGTCGGACAGAACCGGGACACCATTTGGGCCCAGGGAGGACTCGGATTTCTGCGGGGTCTTCGGCTGAGCCCTTTCCTTCCGTGTCTGGCTTCGAGGCAGGCACCGGGGGCAACGAAGACCCTTCGGCTTCCGGTTTTAACGGCTCTCGAGCAGCTTCTTTTGGGATTGGTCCAGCCACATCTGCTGCCTCTTCCGCCTTCCCATGCTTGTTGTCCCAAGGGCAGGCCGCCTCGGCTGGAGTCTCGTGGAGGGGGGTCTTCTTGGGCGTTGGGAGTGGATTGTTGGCGGTCTCCGCTTTGGCTGGTCCCTGGGATCCCCCCTGATGGATGGACTCGATCTCCGTGACAATCTCTTTGACAGAGACAATGGGGGAATGGGAGCGGATCAGGCCCACGGGAGGCTCCGGTTCTGAGAGCTGAAAAAAAGAGAAAAGAGGAAGAAATGGGAAGATTAATTAATGATCTGAAAAATGTTTCCACGTCAAATCAGGCCACTGACAGGGCTCCGACAAATCCACCCTCATTTGAATCATCTCTCAGAGTTAAAAAAAATTGACTTATTAGGAGTGACCATGTCGGCGTTACCTGGGTGCAGCCGACTCTAAGACCCATCATTCATTTCCCCCTTGACCCTGGTCTTCCCCCCTCCACCCCCTGGATGTATATTCTCCAATGGGACACATCCCTAGCCAAGAGTCACCAATCATGCTCTACGAGTAGTAATCTTGCGCGCCAACAGCTTCGGCCGCGTAGCAATTATCTGAAGCATGTAAGGAATGCACTGCATCCCTCACTCCCTTTCTGCTGGCAATTAAAAAGACCAAAGGAGTATTTTTTTAGTTGACAGCCAAATTACATACCAGTAGTCCTTGTCTTACGACCATTTGTTTAGTGGCCATTCAAAGCTACAATGGCACTGAAAAAAGGGACTTACGACCATTTCCCCACACTTACGACAATTCAGCCCCCCCCCCCACCCAGGGTCACCTGAATCCAAATTCAGACACTTAGCAACTGACTCATATTTATGACGGTTGTGTTGCTCCGGGGTTACGCCGTCCCCTTTTGTGACCTTCCGACAAACTACATCAGTGGGGAAGATGGGTTCACTTAACAACCAGGTGACTAACTTAACAACTGCAGTGATTCACTTAACAATGGTGGCCAAAAAAAGTTGTAAAATTTACACTATGTTTCACTTAGCAACAGAAATTATGGGCTCCATTGTGGTCGTAAGTCAAGGACTACCTGTGTTAATGACAGTGTTGTTGTGCCGGGGTTATGTGATCGCGTTTTATGATCCTCTGATGAGCAAAGTTAATGAATTCACTTAACAACCACGTTATACTGACTGAACAATTATGGCCATAACTCGAGGAGTTCACTGTGGTTCAAAAATTTGACTTTTCAAACCTGCAATGGACTTTCTACGTATGACCAGTCTCCAAAGTTAGGATCAGGCTGGCTTTTATTCTGATGGTTGTTAAGCAAACATTGCAGTTTTGTCGAAAGCGGGAAATAAATGTCGTTTTTCCTGCAAAATCATAATAAAATTTGGCCTCGTCACCGTGGGACCCTGCAAATGTTGGACACTTGAAGTGATGTAAATGGAAGCAAAAAGGGAAACTTAATTTTCTGTTTTTCTTCCTTTTCTTGGTGTATACGTGAAGTAGAAAATGTAATGGATTATATAAAGGATATGAGAAAATAGAAAACAGGATAAATTCGAAGGGATTATATTGGGATGTAAAGTCTCTATCACGAGAGTATTTTATGATTAAAAGTAGGGGAATGGAAATTTATTAAAATGATATAGGTAAAGTTTGGCTAAGTGGAAAGAAAGAAAAAATATGAAATGGTTATATGAACATCTCTGGAATAAATAGATATATTGTAGATTGGGGGATATACTATGTGGATCCTAAATATATTAGTTTTACTTTACTCTTTTTTGACGGTTTATTATATATCGGTCTTGAGAAAAATTAATGAAGATAATAATTTATAACGTAAAATAGGTGGTGAGCTGAAAAGGGAAATAATAGGGGATAACGAATTGAAAATATATGTGAGGATGATATGATCTTGATATCGAATTAATGAACTGAAATATGAAACAAACAATTACTTAAAGGTTAGTGGAATGGATAATGATTTGATGTGATATTAAATACGAAAGTTGCAAATGGAATTATGACAACGTATAGGTGTTGTAATCTGGAATCACGTTGCTCGCGTGGAGAGATGGGTAAAAAATAAGGATAAAAAAACTTTCATTTTTTTTTAAAAAAGAAGTGATATAACCACGAGGGGTTGTTGTGGTTCGCCGGCAGCAGGTGAGGACGGCTGAGGTCTCGGAGAGCGAGGACCGAGATGAGGAGCCCGCGTGTGATGCAGGGATGGAGGCAGGACCATCAGGGGGTGGAGTGCTGCCTTCGGAGGTTGTGGAGGTTGGCAGCAGTGAGGAAGAGGCCCCCGAGGAGCCTGTGCACATGCACACAGGGCTGCTCAAAGGGAAGAGCAACTGCAGCAGCACGGGCGACTCGGGAGTAAGGCTGCAAGGTAGTGGCCCCTCCCTCAAGAGATAAAAGCCAGCTGAGAAACCGGAGTTCTTTGCAGGAAGCAAAGACGTTTTTGCACTCGAGCCTTGTGGACGTTCGGAGTACCTTGTTTGGTGTTTGGAGACACTTTGATTTATTGTTTAGGAACTTTATCTGGTGTTCTTGGCAGCCTTGCAAAAACTTGGCCAGGCTTATTGGATCTAATTAGTTGGAAGCAGCCTTTTTTCTCTCTGAAGAAACGGGATTCGTAAATGAAACAGTAAAAGGTTGCGCTGATACCTTGGAACCAGGTTTGGGTCAGAACAGGGGAGGGGAAGTGACACTGTTGGAACTTCAAATCTGGGTCGTAACTACAGGTAGTCCTTGACTTACAGTGGTTCACTTAGCAACCATTCCAAGTTATAATGGCACTGAAAAAAGGGACTTAAGGACCGTTTTTCAGACTTACGACCATTGTAGCCATCCCCCAACAGTCACGTAAATTTATATTCGAATGCTCAACAACTGACTCACGTTTATGACAGCCGCGGTCTCCCAGGGTCCCCTTTTGCGACCTTCTCAACAAGCAAAACCCACGGGGAAAACCAGATTCACTTAATGACTGTCCGGCTCATTTAACAACTGCAAGGATTCGCGTTAACAAAGGTGGCAAGGGAGATCATACAACAGGGCAAAACTCACTGAACAAGCGTCTCGCTCAGCGGCGTAAATTTTGGGCTCAATGGTGGTCATAAGTTGAGGACTACTTATATTCCACCCCCCCCCC